TGTAGGGAAGTTCAAACGTTGAGGTAAATGTAATGAAAAAAAAAATTAAGATATTTACATTTAGAATGAATTAAATTATTTTAATAATTGATTATATTTAGAATGAATTTTTGTTTAGGTAAATGTAATGAAAAAAAATTTTAAGATATTTATTTTTATTTAAATACTATAAATAACAAAATTTTATATAGTAAATCAAATTAAAAAATATATATATTGAATGTTGTAGTAGAGGTCGAACCTAGTTCTACATATATATACTATTTCAAGTAATGTTCCATAATTATTTTTTTTCATTTTCGAACAAGATTTTAAAATATTTTTTAGGTGAAATCATAATGTTTAACCAAAGATTCGAGATAATGTGAAAAATATATGGAAATATGTAGAGTATAAACACTTGTTCTATAAATTGAATTGTATAAATGTACAAATTGATGGAGGCAAAATTTTCCAACCCTTAGCAGATCCCTAAATTTTGGATGCTCTGCAGGATTTGGGGAGAAAATTATGACTAATATTTTCTATTGAGTCATCATGTTCAAAAGGCAAGCTCTCGATTTAACCATGCGCCTAAAGACGCTCTCCAATCCATTTTCAATGCTTTCAATGGCATTCTCCAATGCTTCCAATCTTTCATGTGCAACCTGCATCTTTGCAACATTACTGCCTTCACTTTGAAGGTGGCTTAAAGATGCTTCCACACTCTTCAACTCATTGGAATTCTCTTGGTTCTCTTCGCATGATATCACTCCCTTGTGCATCAATTTTGCTACTAGTAACCATTTGGTCGCCTTTGACTTTGAAGCAGGCACGGTCAAGAAAGCTAGCAAGGATTGGAAGATAGACATGTTCATTACAATCACTTCCCTAAGCACTCTAACCAAAGCAGCGAGTTGTTGGTCTTGATTCAAGAGTGTGGATACTCCAAATTTGGTCTCCATCTGCTTCAAAGATGTGATCAACTTCTTGGCATTCTTCTTCATTTTCTTTGAGAATAAGTTATATTCCGCTATAATTCTTTCAATGCTTGAATCCCCCTTTCTCCTTCTTAGAGCAGAATGAAGGGATTGAACGTTTTCCTTAATTTGTAACATGGTGTCCCTTGTGATGCCACATACATCCAAAATTCTCACTGAACCATCCAACAACTCTTCCATACATTTCTCACCTTGATGGTTGGAAATCATCTTTTGGGTTGATGGCAAGTTGAGAAGATCCTCCAAGCAAATATACAAATCTTGAAGCAAGGACAAGCCGGTGGCGATGGAGTTTGATGAGGATGTGGATGTGGCTTCCCAAGTTTTGAGCTTGTTCAGCTCTTCCTCTACATTAGTGGTGGTAGGATGAGATTCACAAGGAAAACTGTTTGAGCGAACATGGAACTTGTTTGCCATGGTTACTCTTTTTGTTACAAAGGAAGCTTAATGTTTTTGTGCTCTCACCAATTCCTTCAATCTCTATATATAGGTGCAATTCATAACTTAATCCTATTGGTCAACATAATAGGCAACGCAATTAACATTTCATAATCAACTTGAGCATGTGGTACCTGCATGTGTTCCCTAATAATTTGGTGAACTTGTCACATCTCTGCCAAACATTGTGCAGTATTATTTGTGATATAATACATGCATGATAATATTGAAATGGGTTTGTGATGCATAACTGGCATGTCCTCCGAGTGTTGGCAATCAGAAAACCTCATTAGTCATCACCTACTTTGCCTCCTTTGCTGCCACATTGCCTCTTCATTTCAAATATAAAAATGATGTTGTTTGTTTCAGTGATATCCATTACCTGGCTTGTCTCAACAGCAAGGAGCTAGAGCTGCAAAATTGTCTAATAAATGGCTCTTCTATCGATAAGATCCAGATCTTGTTGGTTATGACAAATAAATCGACAACAAATTGAGTTATATATAACGTGATTGCAATTTGGAGAACCAAAAGATAGGTCATTTAGCCTTATGTCTCCGCTTTTTATTTTACCGATACCAACTTTTTCATTATTTTGTTCTGTTTAAAACCAAAGAAGAATCCCATTCCTATATTTGCTTTTCATCATAAATCTTGTGGTACATACAAAGGACGAGTATCCTACGGCCCCATTGTTATTATGTGCTCCGGAGAAACAAGATAACGAATTAAACATGAGACATGAACCCAATCATAATGCATCTGGGACAGGGACACAACAATGAATAAGGGAAGAAGATATGTTTTATGTGTTAATACTTAATACTATTTAGAAAAGGCTAACAAGTAATATAGGCTATATGCAAAAAACTTCTCATGATGTAAAGTTGTAAACTATAACTTTCTCAAATCATTCTATTTAGCATTCACTTCCCGAACGGAGGACTTCTACACGTGTATTTACCATTCAATTTTTAATATTTGAATTATTGAATGCAATTGAGAATTTATATTTAAATTAATTTAAGTCGTAAAATTTACCTGACTTGGAAACCTGTGAGTAGTGTAGAGAGCTACAGTGGTTGATGAGATTGTGATTTTATTACATAATAATAACGTAGATGACCTTGTTAAAAATATGATAATTTAGCCTTTAAAGAAAAATGATTTCTCTTTTTCTAAAGAAAAAAAAAAATACTTACCTAATGACCTGTTATCGATTGGCTACTCTGCTACTGTGTTTACTGTGAATGTCAAATAAGATGGAGGCCCAGTGGCCCGAAATCTCTTGTACTCTGCTAGGTCCAGGCACAAATGACAGCCTAAGGAAGGGCTTATTCTGGATTTCGAGTTCTGATCCTCTTATGGCCAACTCAAGACAAAATTCATCAAGGATATGTTTTTTGAAAATGGCACTAAGGCCCATGGATATTGTTTATAGTGGGCTGGTGGAATTAGTTCCAGTGTGAGTGTACGCTTCTATTTGGCACAATTGAATTGGTGGTATGAAACTATGAACAGGTAACAGATTGCTTCAAGATTACTTATGAATATTTTATATGAAGAAAGCATTAAATTAAAAAAGTAAGTATATTCCATAAATCGAGGTCTTTTAAAAAGGTGACTTAGACAAATAAAGATGAAAGTTGTTGTCATGTCATCTGTTTTACCATTAAAGATATAAGTAGTTGTGCACTTCATTTTCAAGGTTGTACTCTCAATCACCTTCGGAATAGTGTCTAACACTAATTTCTAGTAATTTCGCTTTTATCAATACATTGGCACCATGTTTATTGAGAGGTTAACTCAGATGTTTTAGTAAATTGATGGGTTATTTTATATAATTTATCTGACAGAGGGTTATTTTTATAAAATTATTACATAAACATATTTTATAATAATGAGATATTATCTATTTTAAGTTTAAGTTTTTATAATTTTATTTTTAATCATCACTCAAAAAAAAATTCAATCATTAAAATATGTTTGTACTATATAAACTATTATTTATTATTTTATTTTATTAATATAAGACTTGTTTGTATTCTAATATAAATTATGTAAAAAAAATTGATATGGTAAAACTAAAATGCAGTTGGTATAAAAATTAGCACAACCAAGTACCAAAATCCCTCAATTTTATAAGAGTGTGCAGAATTTCTCATCTTATAAGCTTTAAAAGCATTCATTATTTTCTTTATGGAGGCTTGGAAGGAAGATCTTGTATGACGATTTAATTTACATCTTCGTCCTAAATAGTAAATAGGCAGACCTCATTTTTTTAATAGTATAAATTGAATCAATTGCCTATGTTTTACCGATATTTGTAAGCAACAGCTATTATTGATAGAGTCCACCATTGTGGAAGATGGCTGATGAACTGTTAAGTGTGTATTAGCCAAATTATAAAAATAAATAAATCTTGAACACCAGCATTAGTTTGGTAGAAGGCCTTTCAACTATCAGTTTTCAAAAATAATTTGCAAGAAATAAAAAATAAATAAACTAAAATAGGGAAATGTTGAGAAGATATAATAGAATTCTGAACCAATCATGATGTTCTTGTTCAAACATGTACTGATTTGTGTAGAGCAAACCCTTAAAAAATGGGAACTACATGATCATTCTTACATTTACAAGAGTGTATTTTTACTTTAATGAGCTAGCATATTCAGAAAGGACACTCTATTTTTCACTAAACATCTAAATATGCAATCTAATCCACCCTCAAGGCCATCAATATTAACATTCAGTGTCTCCAACACTCCTAGTGCCCTTTGAAGTTCATCATTGGAATCGCTGTTTTTCTCTCTTCTGAGAAGGGAGCAAAGAACGCTGTTGAGATCTGCAACCCCATTGGTGTTCTTCTGTTCTTTCTGGGAAGAAAACAAAACCGTTGGCTTCAACTTCGAGATCAAGGAGGACCCTTTTGTTCCAAATGTTGTTGGCATGGAAAGAAATAATAACACGGAACGTAGTATAGAGATGGTGATGGTGCTTGCTTCTCTTATCACTCTAGCCAAAAATGCTAGTTGCTGATCTTGATCCAAGAAAGAAAACGAACAACCCTTATTCTGCATTCTCTTCAGTAGTCCAAGTTGTTTGGCAATTGTCTTCTTTGCCTTTTTCTTAAAGCCATCATATGCAGAAATGCTGCTTTCAATGCTTGAATCTCCCTTTCTTCTACGTGTAGCTGAATGAAGAGTTTGCATGTGTTCCTTTAGAACCAACAACAAATCCCTTGCGGATTCACACGTGTCTAGCAATGTGACGGAGCCACATAGTGCTTCTTCTACTAGTTTCCCATCATGGTAGCGTAGAAGAGCTTGTTGAGTTTGTGGAGAATGGAAGAGTTCCTCCATGCAGTTGTATACCTCAGCAAGCACAACTAAGTCACTCTGAATTGTCTCAGCTTCCAAACAACTAGTGCTTGAGATCACAGGTTGAGAATGATTAGGCTTTAGGTGGTTTAGAAGTGCTTCAACTCTCTTTGCAACTGGGTGTACTCTAGTAGGAAAACTAATGGATCTTACCGGTTGATTTGAACAGGGAAACTTAGAAATGGTTTCCATCTTTGTTGTTTTTGCTAGAATGGTGTTCCTAGGTAACACAAGAATGCTTGAATTACAACTAGTCTTAGATGAATCTATTTATAGGAACATGGTCTAGGAGGACCTAAACATGGTACCATGTTTTATGAACGTGGACTATTTGGATTTTATGATGTGTACATGTGATGGCAATGTGGGTCATCCTAAGTTTCATATGACTTTCTGACATTTTAGGTCAGCAATTTGGCAGCACTAGAGATTTTTTTTTAATCTCATGGCCATGAGAAGAGTAACGTAGAATTTTGAGAGAATTGATGGTGTGTGCTCCCCTGTTAGGCATCAATAATTCCATCTTCTCAACCCTTTTTCAATAATATAAGATTTTTTTTCCAAATTATCATGTGTATTATTGAACTTGAAATTTATCGGCTTATCTTGTCAATTCATGTCCTAATTCAAAAGATGAGTTTGGACAGATTTAAATAATCATGGCAAGTAAACTATGAAGTGGTTGTAGTCTAAAGTTTGCACCATACACCTGGAATCTAGGTTATTGGGTTCAAGTTGCCATAATCAATTCAATTTTTGTGGCTATAAGGTGTTGTGCTGCTAGTGCATTTACTGTTACTAGGCGACAAAAGGGGGCAATCAACAATGACATTTCTTCTACTTTGGAAATTGATGTGTTTGCATGATGAAAACGTCGCAGCATGAATAATTTTAGGTACTTAAGTTTGGTGGGTGGTTTATATCCAGAATAGCCCAAAGAAAGGTGCACGTACAAGAATCACATGTTGATTGGACATAGAGAAGTTCAATCTCTTTGTTGGGTTCTTCAGCTCTTCAGATATTTGCAGGTTAAACAACATTATGTTTCAAGAGCGATGTATCTAAGAATCATATTCTCTGGCAGACACCAGTTTAGTTTAGGACTAAGAAACTTGATTAAAGTTAATCTTATGATAATTAACTTGCACATTTTTCCATCAAATTGATGAATAAAATATTAAGTCGCTTGTGTCAGGGTACTTACAAATGTTTGAATGAGAGATGTTAGTACACTTTTTAATTTTATTTTATTTTTAATTTGTAGGAAAGATTTAAATGACGCTCTAACAAGATTTTGTGCAAACCACCCTCAAACTTCCTATCATTATGCCTAATGTAGTGATTTGTACGCTTTTTAATGTTGAACACATTTAAACTAAAATTTATTAAAAATAACAGAAAATTATAAATCTCATTTTTATTTACTTAGTTTCACTTATAATATTATAGTTTTTAATAAATTTTGCTTGATGATAGGAAATAAATCGAAAGGATCATGTTGCTAACATTTTTTTGTTATTTGTTGTTATCTGAATTGTTTAATGCTATTATTTTAGTCTTTGTAATATATATATATATATATATATATATATATATATGGGTTATAATTACAATATAATTTTTACTAATTAAATATTACACCACTCAATACTTTATTTTAAATGTGAATTTTGTAAATTCAACCGTTAGATTAAAAGTTCATATCACTTTATATGTGTATATCAAATTTAGTTAAAATTGAACAATAACTTAAAGATAATCAAAATATTAATATTTTAGTATATTTTGAAATGAATACATTACGTCAATTTTATTTTCTAATAATGAAGTATCAAATCATCTTGAATTAATTTAAAATTTTGTATATATGATCTAAGAGTAAGAAACTTTCAATCTAACGGTTGAATTTACAAAATTCACATTTAATATAAAATTATTGAATGGTATAATACTTAGTAAAAGTTATACCGGTGTAATTATAACCTCATTCATGAAAATAAACTTATAGAATTATATATATATATATATATATATATAATTCTATAAATTTAATTAAAAAAAAGAACTTATATCTTTCGTGTACAGCTTTATATTATTAAAACATTACCAAAGATGTAACAAAACTATTCCTTAAGTTAAAACATTCTTTGTATATATTTCACATAACATTCATATGCAATTATCTTCCTCAAATCAAAATTAAAACTCATGTATTTTATCAGATTAAAATGTATTTGATCTACATTTAAATTAAGTGATAATACTTGTTTTAAAATTAAATAAAAAAGATATACACATTTCATAGACTAGAATAATATTTAAATACTTTAATAAATTAAATAAAATTAAATATTCAGAATGTTCAGTTTGATGAATGTTGAATAAGATGAATGAATTGTTATAACACGCCATGCATTTCAATTTTCCACAAATTTAAAAAAAAAAAACTTTATTATTAATAATAGTTCTATCAGACAGATTTGTTTGCTGTAAATGATAGGGTTTTTTTTTTTCTGAAAAACAAAACAAAATCATTATTTTTTTTAATGAAGGGTGCACGTTATACCTGTCAACATTTAGTGAATAGTGTACCATCTTTCACTAATCAACATGTCAGATCTATGTTAGCCAATAAAAATATGTCGTGTTCTATGTCTATTTTTCGTGAGCAAAAACATTTTGATAATGCTCTGTAATCGATCTGTTCCCTTTGATGCACTGCTAATTTAAACCTGTTGTTTTTTTAGAAGGCATGACATTGTCCAATTCAAAAGGGTTAAATCGGAAAAACCACTGTCAATTCAAAATTAATATCAAATGCTTTCTACTTCATATAATGTTATTTGGATAAATTTCTCTAGTAAATAAATTTCTAGCAGAAGAAAATATTTAAAATAAAATTCTGTATAAATTAAAATGAATTTATACATAAATGAAAAATATTAAAATTTTTAATATAATAGTACTTTAACAAAATAACTTATAAATAAATTAATTTAAATTTTAAAAATATTTTCTTTTCTTTTCTTAAAATACTTTTGAAAAATTTATCCGACCTTTCAAATTTCAAAGTCCGTGGTCAATGGTCTAGCAAGTTGGTTCACTATTGCATTCGATGAGGCTTTTGACTTTTGAGTATGTTTTTACGGTGATGTCTATGATGGAGAAGTTGGACAAGTGGTCCATGGATGGTGCATTTAAAATCACCATAGATATAATATTAAAAACAATGAATGGTTGAGATTGTGATTTAGTGAGAAGATATATTGTACACCTTTACACACCGGATAAAATTTCTGAATATTTTACTGGATTTTTTTTTTTAATTAGTAATTTAGTTTGGACAAATTTTATTTAATTAATTTGTTATGTGTTGTGAGCCGAAAGTTTATTTATTTATTTGTTGTAAAACTATAATTTAATATATTTCCGAGTAAAAAATTACTATCTTCTGATCTGTTAAATGATTTTTTAATTGAGTGATTATTGATAAAACTTTTGCATCTTAAACAAAGGTTTGGAAGAGAATGAAGAACTTGACAATGCTGAAGATGAAGAGGAGGCAGCCGTGGGTAATGATAGTGAAGAAGAATGGGAAGAAGAAATTGATTTGGTAATTCTTGTCTATGTTTACTGCTTTTATGTTTTTCATTTTTATATTGTGTTAATAATGACTTTCTGATCCAATATTTTTTGATGTGTTGTTGACACATGTAGGTTGGAGATAATGAAATGCCTCTGCCGTCTAATTCATGTATCCTTTTCTATTTCTACTCCAAATTTAGTCATGTACTCTTATGTTTATAAAGATTGAAACATCATTATTGCATCGCACAAATTTTGCATGTTGAAGTTAACGTTTCACATTGTTAAGCTATTATATTAGACAACATATTGAACCTGCCGGCACTTTTGAATTTCTTTATAATATACAGACATCAACATGGAGAATATTTCAAGGACTCATTTACAGGAACTTTTTGGTAGCTTCCATCCTAATGCAATTGATGGTGAGCAAGTACTTGCAAATGGCAGCGACGAAGAATATCATATATACGAGGAAGATAGTGAGGAGAATTACTCTGATGAATAATTTGTGTCATTCAGAGTCATCAAATACACATATAGGAGTATCAATGTTTTTTTAAGTTACATAGGAGGGTAAATATCATCTTAGGTTTGTTGATTAAATATCATCATGGATCCTAGAATTCACATTGTTATTATAAGAAGTATCTCTAATTACATTTGTAAAAACAGAGAAAAATATAGTGGTAGATGGAAAGTAGTTTTCATTTAATTATCTATTTTTGTTGATAACTATAAAACAGTGGTGGAAATAGAATTGGTGAATGATGAGATTGAATGATGAACACTAAAAAATGGAAATAGATTACGATTAGTATTCTGCTGAAAACATTTTTGTGATGGTACTTGTGACAATGAAAAATAAACTCGAGTGAAATCACACTAATTATGAAATAGAAATATGTCTATTAAATTCCTCAAAGTTACACGTATGACGTATATTAACTTTCTCGCCACTAAGAGAATCCAAATCCTTGGAGGATGGATTCTGGCCAAGTAATGATAAGCCCCTGTGGCGGTATTTATTAATAAAAAATTTTATTTTATAAATTTTAATGAATATAAAGTTGCTATGAGTATGGTTTGCAATTTTGAATTTGTAAAAGATATATAATACCTTTGACTTCTCATCTTTTCATGGCGTGTTTACCTTTTCATTTCAGTAGATAATATGTGATTACTAGTGTTGTCTCTGGGGCATTTCTGACAATCATGTTGTATGGATATGAATAGATAAATATGACGATTATGACAAATTTTGAACATACTGGGATTTGTTATGAACTAGTATGCTTAATTAATTTATTGTTGCTTTCTAAAACTGATATTAACGAGACAGAATTGTTGCAATGCAACACATCTTCAGCCAACAAAATTTAAAACATTCCAATATATTCATTAAAATTTATAAAATAAAAAATTTTATTAATAAATACCGCCACAGGGGCTTATCATTACTTGGCCAGAATCCATCCTCCAAGGATTTGGATTCTCTTAGTGGCGAGAAAGTTAATATACGTCATACGTGTAACTTTGAGGAATTTAATAGACATATTTCTATTTCATAATTAGTGTGATTTCACTCGAGTTTATTTTTCATTGTCACAAGTACCATCACAAAAATGTTTTCAGCAGAATACTAATCGTAATCTATTTCCATTTTTTAGTGTTCATCATTCAATCTCATCATTCACCAATTCTATTTCCACCACTGTTTTATAGTTATCAACAAAAATAGATAATTAAATGAAAACTACTTTCCATCTACCAATATATTTTTCTCTGTTTTTACAAATGTAATTAGAGATACTTCTTATAATAACAATGTGAATTCTAGGATCCATGATGATATTTAATCAACAAACCTAAGATGATATTTACCCTCCTATGTAACTTAAAAAAACATTGATACTCCTATATGTGTATTTGATGACTCTGAATGAAACAAATTATTCATCAGAGTAATTCTCCTCACTATCTTCCTCGTATATATGATATTCTTCGTCGCTGCCATTTGCAAGTACTTGCTCACCATCAATTGCATTAGGATGGAAGCTACCAAAAAGTTCCTGTAAATGAGTCCTTGAAATATTCTCCATGTTGATGTCTGTATATTATAAAGAAATTCAAAAGTGCCAGCAGGTTCAATATTTTGTCTAATATAATAGCTTAACAATGTGAAACGCAACTTGCACTGTAATTTTTTTATATGATTTTTTTTCAATATCTCACTTTTTATGTTGACATGATATTGTCCAAACATTTGAAAGACCAGCATGCTTTACTCTGCTTTTGACATGTTTCATATTTTTCTAATTCCCTGGCATGAATTTAGAGCCTTATGTTTATGATGAGTTATTCATTTTTCCTTTTTGCTTAAACCAATGAAGTGGCAGATTTATTCTATACAATCTTGTTATATTCTGAAATTTTGTTGCAGTAGTTCAGGTCAAAATAGATTAGATATCAGAAAAAGTGCTTGATTTTGTCTTTCATGATTGAGGTTACTGTAAGAAATCCCATTAACTAAGTTGCATCTAAAATGTTTATTTTGTAGTTTGCAAATGGGTGGTTCTCACAACACATGATCAATTGTATTAGACAACGTCTTATGGTGAGATTCCTATCAGTATTTCCCAAGCCTGGCGCAGAGAATTTACTCAGAGCTGCCACTTCAAGGTTTGAAAAATTAAAGAGGGAGTCCCTTAGGAATGTCATGAAGCTTGATGGAGTAGAATGCCAGCAACCTAATTTAGGTTATGCTTCTATTTCTCAAAAAGTCCCTACATGATATTTATTTTGAGTCATATATATAATTGAAACTTGAAAGGGAGAATTCTATTTAGGTTCATCCGACTCTTTGAGCCAAAGTTTTCTAATTTTCTTCCTCAAAAGGTTATTCGTAGCAGAATTTAGTAATTTAGTTTGGACAAATTTTATTTAATTAATTTGTTATGTGTTGTGAGCCGAAAGTTTATTTATTTATTTGTTGTAAAACTATAATTTAATATATTTCCGAGTAAAAAATTACTATCTTCTGATCTGTTAAATGATTTTTTAATTGAGTGATTATTGATAAAACTTTTGCATCTTAAACAAAGGTTTGGAAGAGAATGAAGAACTTGACAATGCTGAAGATGAAGAGGAGGATGTTTTGGTACTATTCGTTTTCTAATATATATATATATATATATAGATGTGAGGAGGTTATAATTACATCAATGTAATTTTTACTAATTATTATATCGCTCAATAACTTTATGTTAATTATGAATTTTGTAAATCTAACCGTTAGATTGAAAGTTCAAAATAATAAAATAAATCAAATAAACTATAAAAAATTTAAAATTTCAATTTGAATACTCTATTTATATTATATTCTATTATTTTTATTTATTCTATTATATAAGAATAAGATAAGATTAATTAAGAATAAGATAAGATTAATATTTCAATTTTAAAATACTAGAAATCTATTTATACGTGGTCTATTAATTAATATAAAAAATATAGAATATATAATTAATATAAAAATTTAGAATTTATATAATTCAATTTATTATTAATTAGAACTTTTTTCTTAAAAAAGTAAATAAAAATATTCTATATATATTATAGAATCATAATTTTAATTCGATTCTATAGATATATCGAAAAAAGAATATATAATAATATATCATTTTATACGTGTATATCAAATTTTGTTAAAATTGAACAACAACTTGAAAGTAATCAAAGTGTTCATATTTTAGTATATTTTGAAATGAATATATTACGTCAATTTTCTTTTATAAAAATGAAGTATCAAATCATTTTGAATTAATATAAAATTTCATATATATGATCTAAGAGATATGAATTTTCAATCCAACGGTTATGTGTGTCTTGTATAAAGTATTCAAACTCATTATAATTAGGTCCATCCTATTCACTGTGTTATTTTTTTTTTTAATTTCAAAAATATATATAGAAGAAATTTTATAAAAAAAATAGAGAAAAAAACATTAAAAACATTTAAAAAAAATGCCCGTAGAAATATAAACTTTCAAATATTTGGACAAAAGATAATACTTTAAGGGTTTTTAATTAGAAACAAATCAACCAGCTCCAATTTTACTTAATTTTAAAAACAGAAAAAACTTTATTAGCTAAAAAAAATAAGAGACTAAAAACACACAAAATTAAATTCAAAACTAAGAGTGTAGTTAAGCTCGTAATATAATATAATTAAGATATATTTTTATTGTTAATAATAAAAATTTATTTTATTATATAAAAATAAATATACAAAAAAATTCAAATTTTAAAAAAATAAAATACTTTTAGTGAAAAAAATCATTTTAATATTTATTAAAGAAAACACCACCTGATGACATGAGGAGAAAGAAATAACTAGTTAATAACTCTTGTTTGCAATACGGGTAAAACAATAGTTATATGTACATATTATTCAGCAGAATTTCGTAGATGTCCATAGGTAATAAGCAATATTCATTTTGGTAAAATTGCGTAGGAAAACTATTAAAAAAAACCCTGGCTTTTTTACTTTTCGATTTAAACAACTTGATCCTTGAGAATGTTTGCATGTGAGTTTTATATAGATTATTAAGTATTATTTAATATCTTCATACTCCAAAACAACACGGTTGTTAGAATAGTGGATTAAGCCTAACTCAACCCTACAAAACTGGCTTAACCGGCTTATAAAGTGAGGGTTGCTTTCCACTTATATTTTATTCAATTGTCTAATCTCTAGTCGATGTGAGACTTGAGTTTTTCTCAATACACCTCCTCACGTCCAGCACTATTGGGCTTGGTACGTGGATAAATGGTGGGTGACCCTTTTTAATGATCTAGGATTGACGGGACTTGGGTTTTTCCCAATACACCCCCTCACACCTATGAGGCATGCATCAATGATGGGTGACCCATTTTTAAAGTGGATCTAAATGGCTCTGATACCATGTTAGAATAGTGGATTAAGCCTAACTCAACCCTACAAAACCGGCTTAACCAGCTTATAAGATGAAGATTGTTTTTCACTTATATATTATTTAATTACCTAATCTCTAATCGATATGAGACTTGAGTTTTTCTCGATAACGGTTACTTCTACATTTGGACTTTGTCAACTAGAATACATAGAAGATGCAATCTACAAATATATTGATAAATTTATCCCTTAAAAGAAGGTTTATAATTTTTTTTATTTTATTCATACTTTTCCCCTTTTGTCTTGAAATATAATTTTTATTAGTCAAGTATTATTTGTAATAATGATATAATTAATCTTAGAAATATTAGATTGATCCCATATATTAAGTAGGGTTACAAATTACAAACGAATATAGCTAAATAAAAAATAAATAATAAAAAAAGAAATCGGTTATATTATAAATTTGTTTGTCTCTCCAGTTGAAGAAAGGATCTACTCTGAATTATAATGTGCAATATGACAATAAATATGCACACTTCAAAGCTGCATGTGATGTAACCGCCATTCATTGATTAATGATCTTCCAATGTATGATGCTAAGACTTACATGTGACTTGATTTGTATGAATTAACCAAACCCTAATCAATCATAGCTATAACTTTAAAACATTATTAAAGTTTTATGTTCAAGTTAGTGTGGCTACTGGCTAGTCATTTCTGACGCCCATATTTTATATTAATAATATGTATACTATCGTCCATTTGGTCAGCTGCACCTTCATTAAAACTCGTGATTTGATTCATTAAGATATAGAAAATATAAATCTTAGTACTTATCAATCTAAAGACACAATATAATAGTTTACATCCATTTTCCAGTAACTTCACATGAATAAATATTTATAAGAGCTTTTCTTTATTAAGTTATAACTAGAGCTTTGATGAAATGTTCTCTAGTTTCATTAAATCTTAAATACATTTTGTTTTTAACTGCACCTTAAATTTTGCAAGACCATTACAAAAGCGAACCTTATAATATATCATTATAAACAATGTTGTACATACACAGACATTTTTACAACTTTTACCAACAAAAAAAAATAGAAAGTTAAAATAGAAATGGAAAAGTTTAACATAATGGCAGAGAGAAGGGAACAATCTCAACTTGAATCGTCATCATTCTCAGTTTGGGCAAGACAATTGAGGGCCAAAAAATAAAAGAATTTAGTATATGATTTCACTGAAAAACTTAATAAGTGACAAAAATTGATAATGGGCCAGTACGTCGTTGGGTTCTGAATCCAGCAAAGTGCTAAACACACCTCTCCTTCACAGGCCCACAAAATATTTAGCAATTAGAAAACCCTTGTAGTCTCGCATCCTCTCAATTTTAAGTAGTCGATTTTGTGAAGGGTGGAGAATGACCTAACAATAAAATAAAATCTTCATTGAGACATTGCATAACGATACAGGCAGAAAACAAAACCAAGAAGAAAAAAAACTACTAATCACATACATATAACCAATGGTAATACGTACGATTTCAATTGATAAATGCATGCATGGAAACTATTTTGTAGATATATAGCTTTATTTGAAATGCAACATCATTAATTAAAAGAATCTGTGTTGATATATTTGCATTAGTGGCATTTGCTTGAATCAAATAATGTATAAAGTGAAAAATACTAATATGATTGTGAGGCTGAGCCCTTGCCACTACTATTGACACAATTTCATCCCACCGCAAAGGACCAAATGGCTTGTGTTTTTACCCCAGTAAATTATTTAAGTGAAATGTATATACTTACTTAAAGAGTTGCTGCGGACAAATTTCACTTATTTTAAGAAATTTATCTTCCAATTATGAAATGATAATAATGAGGACACCAAAGTTTCATCTTAAGATCTTACATATATTATCTCAACTCTTATCACATTTTAGTTACTAATTCTTGATGTTCAACAAACAATTAATTTTTAGGTGAAAAAAAATATTGATAGGTAAATCATCATTAAAAAAAGAGTAATGCGACTAAAATTTTTATTATTGCTTGTTTATTTGTTTTTATTACAAATAAAAATCTCATTGGCACGGGTAATTAAATCCTTTTGCTCTACTAGTTAGGATTCGACATTGAATCCGATTTTCTTTATTCTTTATATTTTTTATCTTGCATATTTACGTTGGAGATGTGTTACACGATCCGTAATCCTATTATAAATCTTCAAAAGGGTTCTGATTAATTATGTTTTTATATGAGATTGTGTTTTCTCCTAATCTAAACTTTTGATTAACCAAAAAAAAATTCCCATTACAAACACATTGGATTGAAATATTATCATTATAAGTATATAAGGTTTTAATTATATATATGGTTTAATTCATCATTATAAGCATATAATGTTTTTTTTTTGCTGAACTAATGATTTATTTATATATATATGGTTTAATTTAATAAATATAAAAACAGAAGTCAAATTGAACGGAACACAATTTTATTTTAGAACTAATAATTTATTTATTTATATATGGTTTAATTTCATAAATAAATGTAAAAACAGAAGGCTAATTGAACGAAAGACAATTTTTATTATAAACGAGGTTAAAAGGAAGTGTTCAGTTCTCTGATTTTATTAATAGCTAGGCTTTTGCAGTGTTGTTTGGTTAGGGCAATATCAAAGTCAATCAATTGCAATCTTAACCGTGATTCGTCATAGTAATAAAGGAGTACTATAACTTCAAACCATACATATCTGTAACAGTTTTTTTCCTTCAAATTTTGTAATCATTATTTTGTGGAAAACAAGGACCTTATCATGGTTCTATCACCCCAAAAGAAGTGTAACCAATCGCACTATCATCATCTATATCGTGACAAATTTCATCCTGATCCTACCAAATTAGAAAACAAAACATTTTCAAAGTCGCAAAACAAAAGTACAACATTCTGACATTTACAGTACAAAAATTCAAAATTTTGTAAGAAGGTTAAGAAGTGACACTCTTTGTTGTATCATGCACCTAAAGAGGCAATCTAATCCCTCCTCCAATTCTCTAATACTCCCCTCTACTTCCCCTAATCTCCTCTTCACAATTTGTACATCACTCTTAGCATCAATTTTCTTAAAACGTCTATGGAAGGAGCATAGAGCAATATCAATGTCCCCCATCTCATTGATCACCCTCTTTTCCTTATCATCTCTAGTGGACACTATTCTTCCCAACAATGACCTCCCACTATTGCTTAACACGGGTGCACACATGAAAAGTAATAGTTTCTTGAAAAACAAGATGGTGATTTTGCTTATTTCTCTTAGAACATTGATCACCATTGGTACATGGTGGTCTATATCCAAGAGAGGGCATGAACAAGACTTAAAACAATTTTCCATTGTCTTAAGTGCTTTGAGCCTTTTTGTGATGTCTTTTCTTGCCCTTTTCCTAAAACAAATGTAAGCACAAATCTGGTTATTGACACTTGAGTCCACACCCTTTCTGCGTAGGGCTGATTGGAGCTCTAGTACGTGCTCCTTCATCAGTGACAACAATTCTCTTGCTGATCCACACGTGTCCAGCAAACCAACTGACATGTCAAGTGGCTTCTCCACATGCTTTTCATGGTGTAGAAGAGCTTGTTGAGTGTGTGGACAACCAACAAGCTCCTCCACACAATTGTACAACCCTGTGAGCCCTGCTAAACCTGATTTGATAGCCTCAGTTTGAGAATGTGATGATGAAGCTTCCCATGTTTTAAGCCTCTTTAGCTCTTTTTCAATCTTGGGTAGTGAAGGGTGTAGCCTACAAGGCAAGCTAATGGATCTAACATGGTAGTGAAATTCCTTAGCCATTTTTTCTATGTTGCTAATTTGTTCTGAATTACTTAGGTTTGGAACAAGACATATATATAAACATAGGATGAGACCACTATAGACCCTGTATGCCAAGTAATATGTTGTGTTCTAATACTACAATTAAGTATACTCTTACCAATATTGAAGATTTTATTATCATTTTTTGGCCAACAATTTTCAGTACCAAATGTTTTCTTTAATCTCTTGGTCATTTCAGTGGCAACATATGGTGTATAACAAATTGTTTAGGTGCCTGTAAGTGCAGACATGTACTAATTGGAGGAGTAGCATTCTCACTTGTCTCCCCAATAATTAACAGTAGAATCTGATCCAAAGATACAATTCACGAATTCCACAAGCTGGCAGTGCATGATTGTCTTGTTTTTAATGATGATAAAATATAACTGTGTAAATGAAAGAGGATTAGTAATTGTGAAACGAAAATGACAAACAAAGCAGGATCTAGCACGAAATATAGACTAAGAATCTAGGTTTTGGTATGGGGAGGTATAGGGTTATTCCGTCTAACTTTAATAATGCAAATGCATTTTTCGTGTTTGGGTATTTAATTCTAAACTTTTATTCCATGTGCTGGAAGATTCGAGTCAAATTGTGTTTGTATCCCTGAAGAAGGTACGTACAACAAAATACTATGGTCATGCAAAACAGGGTAATCTTGTTCTCGCTTAAAATTCTAACAATAATTTTTTTTAATAAAGAAGAAAGAGAGAAATTTATAGGATAAGATCAATTATATGAGAGTTTAAAAAAAATATATGGAAAAAGTATAGTAATTCATGCTAGGATAGAGGCTTTAACTCATTTGGCAGTATCGTTTACCATATTATTATTGCCAGCATGCGCCTGTAAATTTTTAATTTATTATTGCAATACCCTCAACAGTAGCTTTCATTACATAGACAAGTTTATTGAAAACCACAGAACACGGGGCAACATTCTTATTCTTATTACTACTTAACCTGTGGCAAACACAAGCAAGAAGTCCAAGCCCAACTTATCCACCAAAGGGCCTCTGATCTCTGCAATTCAAGTTGGGCCCATACGTGATCCCCAAAATGTCACAGTACCTTTTGTAATACCCAATCCTATCCCCTGAAGCAGGAGTAGGACCCTTCCCACATTCAAGCCCACCATTGATGATGTTGGTGATGACCCCATAACCTGGCACTCTATTAGCTGCTCTGTCAGCTGCAGATGGGTTCCACCTGTTAGTGATCACATCATGGCATGAAGGCTTGTTACCCTGTGGTGTCATCCAGAACCATATTGCTGTCTTGAATGATATCACTGCATCTCGTGCTACCAAGTCTGGATTGTTTATCAAGTCCACTCCCAAGGCTCTTCCAGCTTGAGCATAGTTGTAGTTACTACATATTTGTCAAAAACATTGATAAACAACATAGTAGTCACTAACTAACTGTGTGACAAAAATAATGTTCCATAACATGTGGGACACTATTATGGAACTTAGTAAAATAACTTAAAATGACCCTTATTATGAGATCAAGAAATCAAAATAGTGCATGTTGTTTATTTTATACTACTTACTGGGTGAGTTGAATGGGTCCTCGGCCATAATATGATTTTCCTTGGGGACATGGTGCATTGGGATCACAGTACTTGTTGGATTTATCTCTTTCAGTCACAAAGCAATAACCCCAAGCATATGGTCCATCTGATGAACCTGCCGCTCCTCCTGTATCACACACCACATTAATAAAGAGTAATTTAAAATTTTACATGTCACATATATTTTAGAAACTAAGGAAAAATTTAGTAAAATAATGCATGGTGTATGACATGGTGTGTTGGACATTTTGTTATGCATATTATTAGCGATTAACGAGTGATTGATATAACCTGTGGTTTCGTGAGAGGTTTGGGCCAAGAAAGCTGCAACCTCCCTCTTACGAGTGTTGGAATCACCCGTGGTGCCAAACCCACCAAAGGATCTAGCAGCGGTCACAAAAGCATTGTACGAAAAGAATCCCTTTCCCTCACAAGCTGGATCGTTTCGGTGCTTCAACAATTGCTCAAATAGAGAAGCACCGATCACGCTTCCAACATCGTCCCCAGCAACACTAGGGAACTCCGAAGAGGTAACAAGGACACAAGCTAAGGTTAAGGCAATGATAGTGTCTAACTTCATATTTGTGATGTTATGAGTACTCAAAGTAGTAAGTGTGTGTGTTGTGTGCTTTGTAGGTGAGAGTTTGTAGGTATATATATAGTGACAATTGAAACCCAAAAAAATATATGGTGACAATCTTCGTGGTTTGTCTTTCCTTAACTTCCGTTCTTGAAATAGACTATGTGACATCATGTTGAAAAATATCTAGCACTGGAGTTTGTGTTTGTGGAAATTTAGGACGAACGACTTCTTTCACGCACTAAGTATTTAGTTTTTTTCTTTCGGCCATCATTTCATGCACTAAGTGGAAACTGGAAAGAAAAGAGATTAAGGATTTGGATCATTGACTAACTAGTTTAAGAAGGGAAATGCAGATAGATGTGGAGAGTGTGGAGTGAAGGTGGGTTCATCGTGTTCATGTTTCATTCCTTATATTTTATCTTTGTGGGTAGATGAATTATTACAAGGTATGAAATTTCTATGTAGTAATGGTTGGGTGAATTTTTATAATTTTGTTTTGAAGAAAGAGTATTAAGTTTAATTACGTGTTATGTAGAATTTTATCGGATCACGACTGTATAATACACAACGGATTAGGGGGGAAAGGATAATCAATATCTTGTTTGTTGCCAATCAACGTTGGAAATTGTGCCAAACAAGTTCTTTATTCAAACACTCAAAATTAAGTAACTCTGTCTCTCTACTTTAATAACTTTTTTCCGTACTCTCTTCCTTAAAACCTTTCCTTTCTTCCATTTGCTTTTTATATATTATCTAATTCTAATTATAAATCATATATTCGAATTAGTGGATATTGCAAAAGGAAATAGTGATGTGATGGGAAAAAATGAAGAGACTCATGATAGAGACAAATAAAGCTTTTGTACATTTTTGTTAATTTATGAATAAGATCTATATAGAAATATACACTGATCATGATATCTATACATCTGGATTGAAAAAAATCAAAATTGAGGAATATATCTCTTGAAACAGACAAAAAAAATATATACTTAAAAATAAAAATAAATCATGAATCAATTAACTCCTCTTGAAAACTTGCTTAAAAATGAGAAATTAACATTAAAAAAAGTAGTTAATATGATTAATTTTAATTAATTCTATTTTTATTTAAATTTTATTTTAAATAATATCATTTACTCAGTAATTATTATATTTAATGTTAATTATAAGTAAATGTAAAAAAAATATAATTAACAATAAATTAAAAGTATAAAAAAAATTAACTCGGAGTAATTTTAAAACTAGAGGTAATATTTATTTTTATTTTTTATTATAAATTTAAGTATTTTTTTATATATATAAAAATGTCTTATTTCTAATAGGTTTGTGGCTTTTCTTGCATCAAACATTTTATAATTGATATTTTATTTTTAAATATTACTACATTAGGACCTAATTACAAGGAACATAGTATAAATCATTAAAATTAAAAAGGTAATTAATATAATTATTTTTAATTAATTTTATCATAAATTCAAATTTTATTTTAAATATATCATTTATTTTAAATAATTTTTATATTAGAGTTAACAATAAATAAAGAATATAAAAAAATTTAACCTTTAAATAACTTTAAAATTAATTATTATTGATTATAATTAGGATCAAATGTAGTATAAATTATTCCCTCCAATTCTTAGTATAAATAATTTTTAACCAAATCACACAAATCAAAATAAGTAGTTATATCTATCGGCGATAAATACTTTAGGGACGAACAAAAAAAAAAGTAGTTATGTTAATTAATTCTATTGGGTTTATAAAATAAAATCATGATTTATCAATTTTTATCATTGTTATTTATCATTAAAAAAAATTAAATAAAGACATTACCCCACATCAAAATTTATGCACCAATACCAACAAAAATGATAAATGATAATTGGAAAGTGTTTAAGAAGTGGGAGAAAAAAAAATACATTCTCACAAGTTTTAATAGGACAAATAAAGAAAAAATAATTTAATATTTTCTAGAAACTATAATATATCTTATAAAAAGGATTAAAAATTTATTCTAAACTATGGTTTATAATAAAGATTGGAGGAAGTAGTATTTTAATATGTGCAATACACATGTTAAATATTTATTATATATAATTAAAATTTATAATTTTTGTTTATGTACAACAAGAGGAAAGATGTATAGCAAAAGAGAAATGAAATTTTTCATACTGTACAGGCTTGTTCTTGGGCTTTGCAAATCACGTTACTTTGTCATATGGGTAGTCCTTTGAAAAGTTTAATCCAAGTCAGACAACAAAGGAACACTAATAGCTTGTTTAGATCTTGCGGATGCATATTTTGTGCTTGACATACCCATACAATGGACAGCCATGGTTGTCGACAACAACATTGGAAATGCTTTAGTTGTTCAGTCATCGAGTATTTGTCAACATTTTCCAATTTACAAGATCATTAGGCTTTGAAATACTCGGCAAACTTTTTTCTACTTTTACGATTTATACTAATTTACATGAAAATTCATTAAAGACAAGCATAGTTTCTTTTAATAGGTGTTTGTTGTATCTCATAAATTTTAAGTGAGAAATATTTGTTTCACATGTTTGCCTTATTATTTATGAATAACATTTTTGTGCTTACTTTTTGTTTATGTACATCAAGAGGAAAGAAGTATGGCAAATGGAAATGAAATTTTGCATATTGTACGGGCTTGTTCTTGGGCTTTGCATATCGCGTTACTTTGCCATATGGGTAGTCCTTTGAAAAGTTTAATCCAAGTCAGACAGTAAAGGGACACTAATAGGTTGTTTACATCTTAATAATTTTGCCCAACTCCATACGCTAATCATTCAATCTATTTTTAACTGGAATAAGGATAAGTTAAGGAGACTTGCATACAAATAAATAAGTTAATATCGTTTTTGGTTCAGAATGATTATTGTTTTCTCATTATACACAGAGAAAATTATTAAAACAGAAGAAGTAAACTTTAAGATCAGATGAGTGTAACGCTACTTGTTACTTAACCACGAATTTAGAAAACTATAATGGTTTTAGCAACGTGTGAAATAAGTGCAAAAAAGTAAGAGAGCAGAATGTGACAAAACTAGGAAAAGAGTGACTACAATATTATTATAATAATTAAATAGTGAATTTGAGAAAGAAACTGCGCATTTAATGATTAAGGAGTATGGTAATGGAATATCTATTGCTTACATGTAATGTAATCACTGGTGGGGGGAAAAGAGAAAAAGAAAATAAAAATCCTCAGTGATAGAATTTTTCACGCAAATCCCTGCTTGCTGTAAGCCTATAATTCCAAAACGATAAATATCTTCATAATAACCATGTATAATTATATATCATATTCATCATAAACCGAAGAAAGAAGTAACTGAATAGTGAATACCCTATTATTTTTTATTATAATAATATATAAATTAATTTTGTGTGATTAAAGGTAACCAGACAAGTTTTCCAATAAAAATTAATCTTCAACAAAAACAAATATTACATACTGATAACATGATTAAAAAAAAATCACTGCAACTATTTCTATATAAAAAATAAAAAAAATTAAAAGTCTCTACTAGGTTCTGGTCGATGAAGACTTTCTTTTTTATGGTTATTTGGATAAGACCCATTCAAGTGGGATTGACGAATTGTAGTGGAATGAATTTAGATTTGATTTATCCATTCGACTAATATAATATTGAGTATGGCTGCTAATGTTTTTATTTTTTATTTTTTATTTTTTGTCTACATTCAACAGGCTGCTAATGGTTGAATTGATTCTTCAGCAATTCTATTAACCCATTTTTTTCTCTTTGTACTGCTGCATTTTATTTTTTTATTTTTTTGACAAACCTTTCCCGAAAATGATTTCCGTGAAATTAAGTAATGTTGTCAGTCATAAAAAAAGTTTGAGTTTTGAAGTTTTATTTACTTTTAAATGAAGTAAATTAAGCACGTATTTATCTCCAAAAGGCTGGAGTGTTATTTTTAAAATAAAAGAAAAAAAACAAAAATAAAAATTAAATTAGATAAAAAAAAAGTAAAAAAATCTTTAAAAATCTTTCTTTCAAAGAAAAATTTCTAATGCTAGATAATTATTCGTATTTAATATAAAATTAAATTAAATTTAGAATACATTACATAGACATAATAATACATTTCTTATACCATACAATGCATAAAAATAAAACATCCCCATTTAAGTAGTTATATACATGATGAGAAATAACGACTAAAGTCCTATATACATACACATGACTGAAAATAAGATATAATATAATATACAAAATACATGGCAGCCAACAAAATATAAATAACACAGTGACCACTCCTCAACTGTGTCTCGACCAAAAGTCTGTTTTCCTACCACGACATCACCTGCTCCTGATCTGCTTACATATCAAAGTATGGTCATTGCAGTCCCAACTACGAGGAAAAACATGCTAGGATAAGCTCACAACAATAATCATCATAAAACAACATCATCATAAAATAAGCGACAATATAGTACAACATGTCAACTTTCAACTTCAACTTGAAATGCAACAAATACATCAACAACAACAACAACATATACAACATCAATAAATGTGTCGTCACACATATACAATTAGGAGATCTTCAACAATTGAGGTTGAGCAGTCTAGGTAACATAAACCCTATCGAATCCAACGTTTAACCTATCTCAACCAGGTCAGGTATAGGGCATCGTTAAGAACTCCGAAGAGAACCAGATATAGACAACAATTGCTCAGGTGTGTCACTCAAACTCAGAGTCTAGTACTATTGTCAAGACAAAAGGGTTTGGGTGTGGACCTACCACGACCTTAGCTTGCATCACCAATCCATATATGGAGTTAGCTCACCCACTACCCTCCAAGTACCACGTACTCTCCAGTATCTAGTCAAAGATTACATTTCTAACTAGATACCATACTCAAATTGGTCATTCAACCATGACATGGATCGACTATTTCCATGTTGCTCACACAGTACTAAGGGATTTAACTTTAAAAATAACTTTCAACTTATCACCTTAGTACTATGTATCTCAACATAGGACATATATCTTCATCATATATGTCCAACTTTACAACAATAGACATCTTTATACAACTTTACAACTATAGGCATATTTATACAACTTGA